AATGAAAAAAGTTTAATTTTTTATCTATGAACTCTACAGTGATAACCTATAAATTCTAATTGATATTTCAATTTTAACCTAAACTCATCTGTCTTCTTAATGTTTTATTTGTGAAGATGCAATGTTTGTATTTTTTATATTTTATGACATGTATTGTATTTTGTATTTTTCATAGTTTATAACATGCATTCTATTTTTTTACAAGACTTTGTCAGTGAAATACTAATCTTCCGATAATAAAGCATATATTGATTGATTGTATAAGTTATGAGGGAAAAGAGAAGAATAATATATCACAATGTTTTGGATCTCCATGCATATTCGTATTATTATTCCATCAAAACATAAATGAAAAGCACTTCAATTTCCCAATAATGGTTGAATATTGGAGTTTTTCATTTCATTTACTTGTATTTATATCATACAAAGGTTAAGCATGACCGAAAAAGATAACAGGTACGTAATATTCAAGGTGAGAGTTTATGTGTTTATGATCAACAGTAACATGATGTTTTCTGAATTACTTTTGATATCTTATTTTCGTTTCAAAACGGATATTGCGTTATACCTCAATTCCTTTTCAATTTTTTATTCACAAACATTTTATTTGATGAAAAACGTCAACTTGATTTATTCCTATTGATTTAGCAAAATGCGGGATATGTTTGACAACTGTTCAACCGTAAACTTCACAATTCTTGTTTTGCAATTCCTTTCTGGCTAGACGAAGTTTTCAGTTTCGATTGAGGAACCTTCACGATCTTTATGATATCGCAAGGGGATGTTTTCCACTATTTCAACTCTGGTCACCAAAGAGAAGATACAAATATGATCAAGGATCCTATCCTTTTCTTCTACCCCTTGTAGATACTGATTCTGGATTAGTCTAGCATCTATGAAGATTCCTAGATGATTATTCGTTTCAAAAAGTACAAGTTAAACTTACTCCCCTATTTCGGTGAATGTTACATCAGTATCCACCACTTCTTGGTCTTGCTATACTGCTCAGGACCTGAGGTATGTATCCTCCGACTCTGTCTTTTTGTTATAGACTAGATGAAGATGATATTTTGGTGGTTGAGGTGGTTGAGTAGCTCATATCACTACCGTTAATAATACGCCCCAAATGAAATGAAAAAACAGTTTTTGTTGAGCGAAGCTCAACATTATCTGGTTGAGTATAGCGCTAACAAGTATAAAGACAAACAAACAGCGATCACACACTTATTATCTTTGATATTTCCCAAAATGATCACTCTCTTTGCTCATTTTCCCTGGACGCGGCTTTTTTGGGGTGCTTCTACTCTCAGTTTTTCGAAAGAAACGATAACCTATTCGCATAGTTTGCCTGTCACGGAGGAATTAAATGCTTTGAATATAATTAGAAAACCCTGATTAGTTTCCGAGTGAAGTTAATAATTTCCCCGATAAACCTCTCCTAGATGGACAGATAATAACCGAAAGTTTCGAATCCCTTCTTTGTTTACTGCCGAAATTTCAGTCACGTTAAACACAACAAAATATCCTTAGGATATTGGTAAATGTAGGAACATGATTATGGGATACTTTATCGTTTATTTCCCATTAAACTTGTAATCTCGAGAGACAACACGATTTATTAGTTTTATCTGAATACTGGAGCTTTGACTCATATATTGATGATATCAATAGTTTCATTCGGGTTATAGAAAAAACATCGAAACGTAACTGAAAGAAAGTTGATCACAGTTCTAGTCAAATACTCAAACACAAATTTTTATTCTTCACCGGAATCAACGGCTGAGTGATTCAAATATTGACTCACTGAGATTCATTATCGCAATGACCATTATGATTGAGTGTTATACACTAGTTCTTCAAACAATAAAACCCAGTGCTGTCATAGATGTTTCGACAATTAATACAATGAATACGCATTGCAGACATCGAAAAATTTAATGGAAATGTGACACAACGAGAAACAGATCGAAACAATTGAAGTTGTTATCGAACCGAGATAATAGGAATGAACGAATAATGAATGTACTAATTGGCAATGGAATCAATGCCAATTTATTTCTTCTCTGTTACAACAGGCTATAACTATTCATGGAGCATATTAAATTAGGGTCTTTGAAATGTTATAAATATCCAAAGATATAATTTATTTATTCCAGATAACTGGTTAGTCCATACATACAAAGTCAGTCAGTTAAAACTCTCGCATTCATCTTTGTTTCTCCGAATTGGTGTGTCCTAGGAAGCTGAAATTTGGTACAAAGGTGCTTCTTAGGTCTCAGATGCGCACTAAAGATTTTTGAATTTTCCAACTGGCGCGCCCCCCGTGGGGGTAAAAAGGGCACGTTCACTTATGAAAATTATTTTTATATCACTATTTCTTCGTACCACTATAATTTCGGAAGCTGAAATTTTGTATGTAGGCTCGTTTTGAGTTGTTAATGTGCAAAAGTAATGATTTTCGACTATTTCAACTGAGGAGTCCCCCCGTGGGGGTGAAAGGGACGCGTTTACATATGAAAATTACTTTTCATCTCTGTTTCTCCGTACCACCATATTTTTGGAGGCTGAAATTTTGTATGTAGGTTTGCTTTGAGTTGTAGATGTGCAATACGAAGGGATTTTTTGATTTTCCAACTGAGGCGCCCTTAGTGGGGTAAGAGGGGCGCGTTTACTTATGAAAATTATTTTTTTTCAAAGTTTCTCCGTACCGTTATATTTTCGAAGGCCGAAATTTTGTATGTAGGTTCGTTTTGAGTTGGAAATGTGCAATAAAGAATGATTTTTGACAATTTCAACTGAGGCTTCCCCCATGGGGGTGAAAAAGACGCGTTTAAATATGAAAATTAATTTTCATCACTAGTTCTCCGTACCGCTATATTTTTGGAGGCTGAAATTCTGTATTTAGGTTTGCTTCAAGATGTAGATGTGCAATAAGAAGGGATTTTTGAATTTTCAAACTGAGGCGCCCCTCTTGCGTGTAAGAGAGGAGCTTTCATTCACTGTTTTTCCGTACCACTATTTTTCGGAGGCTGAAATTTTGTATTTAGGTTTGTTTTGAGTTGCAGAGGTGTAATAAGAATTGATTTTTGGATTTTCCAACTGGAGCGCCCCCCGTGGAGGTGGAAGGAATGCGTTTACATATTAAAATTACTTTTTGTCACTGTTACTCCGTACCGCTATATTTTCGGAGTCTGAAATTTTGTATGTAGGTCCCTTTTGAGTTGTAAATGTGCAATAAGTAAGGATTTTTGAATATTTTTGCTGAGAAGTGTCCCATGGGGGTAAAACTGACTTGTTTACATTTGAAAATTATCTTTTCGTCACTGTTCCTACGTACCGCTATATTTTCGGAGGCTGAAATTTTGTATGTAGGTTCATTTCAAGTTGTAAATGTGCAATAAGCAAGGCTTCTGATCCTTTCGATTATATTTGGTAGTTTGTTTGTAGCAAGTGAAGGCATTGTATTGGGGAAATTTCTCTAAGTGTGCCATTCTATATCGAGAAAGTCTCAGAAGATCACCATTACTTATATGCTCACTTAACACTCACTCATTTATCTCTGTTGCTCCAAACTGGTGAGTCCCAGGAAAGTGAAATTTGGTAAAGATGCTTTTTAGGTCTAAGTTGGCACTATAGAAAAATATTTTTGAATATTCCAAGTGGAATATTGTGTAGCAGATTTATTCGTGAGAAACGTAAAAGGTTTGATAATAACGATTATTGTTTTTTGAAGGGTACTAACAAGTAGATTTTTTGTTTTTCATTCCACCAAGAGTTCCGACTATTGAATAGGAAATAGGAAGAGACTTATTAAAACAGTTGGATTAGAGGATCTAGTGGTAGATCATGGAAGAGACGAGTTCTGGCCAAACTTATTTGATGCATCATATACAACTGCTTAGGAAAAGTGTTGGCGAAGGTTCTACTGGTGCTTGAAAAGATGGTAGTAAGTTGGCGAGGGGTCTGATGGGGAGTATTGCGGATAAAAGTTCGACGGTCAATTCGTTTAATTTTCGGGCGGTGATTTGTGAAACGTGCGGACGGGCATTGTCGTGGAACAGGATCGGACCTCTTCTGTTGACCAGTGTCAGTTGCTGCTGATGCAAGTTCTGGTTCACTTGGTCGATTTTCTCACAATAGGACTCTGCTGGGGAGTGGCTTACTGATGTCCAACTACTATCCTGAATGCCTCCTGTTGTCGTAGAGGGTCCACTTTCCATCACACATGACGATCTGATCCAAAGAAGGATCATTCTGGTTCCGCAAAGGCAAAGAAGAACAGACCTCCCAACGTGACAATTTCAAACGACCAATAAAGTCATGGGGCTCCCACTTTACAAACTTTATGAGCTTTTCAAACCATCAAAAACCGCATGGTAGCTGACGACCAGTTATTCCGCCATCCCATGTACCGTTTGTGATGAGTCAGTTCGCCCAACGACATCATATAGTAAAAAGCTGAAAGGAGGCAAAGAATCGAAATTTGAAAAAAAAAACAACAACAATAATGTATATAGTACAAAATTCTCTTGCGGTCACTATGTACCACAACAGGATATAATTAATATTTATCGAGATGAAGAGCTACAGAAGCACATGGCATTGAAACAGACAAAACTTTTTTGTGATGCACTCTCCGGAACCTTTGCTGTGGTAATTAATGTTACTGGAGTTTTTTTCCAACACACAACCGTTATTTCAACACTTCGACACGTATTTAGATCAACATCTTCAACTGTTGATCTTCCTCTTTAAGATGATCACTTGGTGATCAAAACACGTGTCGAGGTGTTGGTGTTGGGAAAACACTCCAGTAATATTCAGTCAAAACTTTCTTGAAACGATCTAAAACAATGCATTTTCTTTGAAATTACTTGCCCTTCATAAGCCATTTCATGTTTCACAGACTTCAGTTGATTTTTCCACAAAATATTTGTAAAATATTCGGAATATTTCCATTTAATCACCCACTTATGTACTCATGACGTTTTTTGTTTCAGATATGGACGCGAAGAAATTAATATCACAATCGCAGTGCGAAATAATAATGAATGTTTACCACGAACAAAACTCTTTGAAAATCAAATCTTTCTCGGTGACCCCATTCCAGGCTCAGATGGATGGTTTGATCGGCGAACAATTCATACTGAACATTCAGTACTCCAAAGGCGAAGAATCACGTGAATTGAAATGTTTCTTGAAAACTTTGTCTGAATCAATCCCAGTCATGTTGCAACTCTCGAAGGAAATACTGGCTTACGAAAAAGAGGCTTTTTATTACGACAAGTTAGTTCCTATGTTGAAAAGTGCAGGGATGACTTGTGACTATGCACCACGTAGTTTCTTGTGTCAGCCCAGTATTATTGTATTGGAAAATTTGGCTGACATGTCCTACAGGGGATCAGGCAAAAATTTGTCAATGGACTTCGCTCATTGCAAAATGTGCATGGAAACGTTAGCAAGATTCCATCTGGACCCAATTCTACTGGAAATTTTAAGACACAAGCAAACTGGGAAAACGTTCAAGCTGCTTGACGAGTTTCCTCTTCTAGAAAACAAAGTATTTTGTGGAGATGATAATGGAGCCAATAGATTCATCCAGCATTCAGTCCAAGGACTATTGGAAATTATCAAAGTAATTCCCGAAGAAGGAGTCAGTTCCAACGAGTTCATGGAGAAGTTGCAACAAGTGGTGAAGGAAATCATGTCGTATCCTCAAGCTCCTGAAGGATTTAGATCGACAGTTCTTCACGGGGATTTGTGGTCGAACAATTTCCTTTTCCTGTACGGAGACGAAAACGAAATCAAACACTGCAAACTGCTCGACTTCCAAACGTTGAACTACGGACCACCTGCGATTGACGTGCTGCAATTCATTTTCACGAATACCAGGAAAAGCTTCCGCGACGAACATCAGAAAGAACTGTTAACATATTATTACAGTTACTTCTGTCGTCTATCGAATGAACGAGGTATTGAGCCGTCTGAAGTGTTGAGTGAGAGTGAATTCTGGAGATCCTGCGATATGTTCACGCTGGCTGCCAAAATTCACTCTGTAGTAGACAGGAGCATAACTTTCATATCGGAGGAGCGTTTTCTAGAAGCAGCCCAAACTGATGAGGGTTTCAGTAGATTTTTGTACGAGGATCGTGGGAAGTTTATACTAAAAGAATTCCAGAGTAATGGTAGTTTCAATGAGATACTGACAGAAGACATTTGTGAACTTAGAGAGATGCTCTTCAAACATTGAAGTCAGTGTGTGTCATAGCTATACAGGACTTTCCAACGAAAACTTGACCTTCCGTTGAAGACAGAAACGGACGTGTATCGAAAATTTTAAAGAACACGCCAATTTTCATTTCTAGGGGAAATAATTCTGATATGGAAATCATACCGGAAACCTCACCCTCCCCAGTCAGCAACTACACCCCCTATTTTTTCAATAGCATGGTGGTCGAGTTATACATCATTCGAAAGGTATTTTGTCCCTCTATTACCTCTGTATTTTTTTTCAAAACTGGTTCATTCGTTATTGAAAAATGTTGAACGTTTTATTTAAGAAAAAACAGAAAATTCGCTGTCGTTTATTTCAATGACGGAATCAACAACAAATAATATCAGTGGAAACAAAAAAGATGGATGCATAGTTCAAAATGACCTCCACCTAGTTCCATACAATAATACAGTCTACTCTCAAAAACGGTCCGTACATTATTCAGAGACAGCAATCAGCATTTCCGAACAATTCTTCTAGATTTGTAGGCTCAGTAGAGTACACTTTCAACCTCAGATGTCCACACAGAAAGAATTCCATCGGTGTGAGATCAGGTGATCTAGCTGACTTCACTGGACCACTCCTTTCGATCCAACGCATTGGAAAACTTTCGTCCAAAAACTGTCTCACCCGAACATCAAATGTGGGGGTGCACTATCTTGCTGGTATGTTATTTCATTCTCTACTGAATCGTCATAATTTTCTAAAATTTGTGTAATCATAGGATCTACCTAGTCTTGTAATAGATTTATGTATGTGTCTCCATTGAGATTACCTTCAATGAAGAGTGGTCCAACAATATGGTCACCAAGAATGCCGGCCCAGACATTCAATTCTTGTGTAGTTTGTAAATGTGTTTCTATCACCAAATGAGAATTCACATCGCTCCAGTGATCACAATTATGTCTATTCACTTCACCATTCAGCATGAAAAAACTTTCATCTGAAAAACATGTATTGTATGTAGGTAGGTAGTCAGGTCTGAATTGAGTGGGTCTATTCGACCCTTCAACGCAACCCGTAAGGGTTCATTGTGGCTCACACCTATTCACACTCGGTCAAATAAACCCAGCTCCTTAACGAAGCCGATTACTTTGTATGGTGAGTGGTCTTTCAGGTCAAATGGTGAGAGTACGGATCTGCCGAACTCAAAGAAACTGATTCGGTCCCCAGCGGGGCAGGCACAAAGTATATGCTCTGCAGTTTCATCATTTTCCAGACAGAGGCGACATACACTGTCTTCCGACAGTCCAAGTCTCTGCATGTGATGACTCGAATGACAGTGACTTGTAAGAAGGCCTGTTAGACATCGTAGTTCATCCCTACTGTAGTCCAAAAACTGTTTGGAATCAAGCTTCGAAGGGTGAATAAACGCCTTGGAGTGAACCAATTCTGGAAGATTCTGCCAGAAGTCCATAAATCTTTTTGCCATCCAGGTGTTGAGTGTTTGTTTGGCAAAGCCCAAATTTATGCCAATGACAGGTTCTGGTCCAATGAAGCCGTTTGCAGTACCCTCCTTTGCAAGAGAGTCAGCAGCTTCATTGCCTTCCAGGCCGGTATGGCCAGGAATCCAGATCAGAGACAATCTGTTTAGTCTTCCTATCGAGAGTCTTTTTTGGCTTTGCTGCCAATTTAGATGTTGCTCGGTGGGAGCCAAGAGCTTCCAACGCCGCTTGACTGTCCGAAAATATTTTTATTGACTTGTGAGTGAGGTTGGATTTATCCAATCTCTCCGCACACAATTCAATAGCGTGAATTTCCGCTTGAAATATTGTCAAATAAGTTCCTAGGCAGGTAAATAACTATGTCCTGGGTCTGCGACTGAAAACACCTGCACCAGAACCGGAAGGTGTTTTCGATTCATCTGTGAACCAACAACTATCTGCTCTTGATATTTCCTTCTCCCGCAGGATCCAGTCATCTCTACTCGGGAATAGTACTTTATAAGGTAGTTCGTAGTTGACAGTTGGAGGCATAAACAGAGGTCATTTCCAGAATGCTGTGACTTCCAATGTCAACCATCAGTCAGTTGAACTCTGCATTGAATTGATTCGTGTAATTGGCAATGTGCACAAGTCTATATGCAGTCCATCTAGCCTCTCTTTCCAGAAAAATGTGGAGAGGAGGAAGATCTAGAAGGATCTCCATGGCCGCTGACGGTGTGGTACTGATGGCACCACTGATAGCCAGACAAGCCTGTCTCTGTAACCAGGAAGCTGGTTTCTGTAAAGCCTTCGGTCACCAGGCAGTCGCACTATAAATGATCATTGGTCTGACAATCATCAGATAAATCCAATGGATTTGTTTGGGACCTAAACCCCAAGTTTTACCACAAATTCATCGACATGTCCAAGGGGATAAACACAGTTTTGCTAGGGTTGACAGACATCTGCTCCCCCAGGCACCAACTGTGAACAACGTCCAACGCGCTTTGGAGGATATTACAAGCTACCCTTCTCGACGTGGACCTTGCCAGGATGACAAGGTCATCTGCATGAGCTTGCAGATCAACTTTTCTTCTGTCGAGGGCATCAAGCAGACTATCCATCAGGAGCGACCACAGAAGGGGAGATAGAACCCCACTTTGAGGGCAGCCCCTGGTGACCCTGAACCTGATAGCCTTGGCATGAAGAGTCGTAGTTGCAGTTCTGGCATAGCATAGATCCAGCCAGTTATGGTCGATTCTATACCCTTTCTAGCCAGAGACAGTCCTATAGACAAAATCCAAAAAACACTAGTAGCCGATACAACAGACGCTCTAGCGTCCTAGATTGTCCATTATCCATTTGTACATGTCCTAAAACTGCAACTCTAGCTCCGTCATTTTTGACAAGACGGGATACTTCATGATTTCTATTGTGAACTGAACCTGAAGTTCGAATCTTGTCAATTAACTGTTTAACGTATTGGTAGCTCACGTTGTGGTCTGGATGATACGTATCATAAATTCTTGCAGCAGCTTTAGCACATTCAATTTTTCGATAATAGGTTGCAACAATGTCTATTCTTTCTCCAATAAAATAAACCATGTTGGAACACAGTGAACAATGATAACTGAATACTAATTCGTGAAGAAGTGACTGTGGCCAACTATCTACTTTTTGTTCTGCGACAACTAAATTCAACAAAAACTACCAGTGCAGAAAAAACTAACAGTGCCGTCCATTTGAAAACGTTTGCAACTAATTAAATAAATTCTACAAATCTAGAAGACCTGCGACAGAGAATTGTTCGGGAACGCCGATTTCTGACTCCGGACATCTTCAATAATATAAGGAACGCTTTCGAAAGTAGACTGTATTATTGTTTGGAACTAAATGGAGGTTATTTTGAACACTCTATCCATTGATTGTGTTCCCGTTGGTATTGATTTTGTTGATTTCCTCAATAAAATGAGCGACAGCGAATTTTCTGTTTTTTCTTAATAAAAACGTTCAACATTCAATTTCTCAATAACGAATGAACCAATTCCGAAAAGAAATAACAGAAGTAATAGAGGGACAAAAGACCTTTCAAATAATGTATCACTCGACCCCCCATGCCATTGAAAAATTAGGGGGGGTAGTTGCTGACCGCAAGGGGGTGGAGTTTCTGTTATGGTTTTCATATCAGAGTTTATCCCCCTAGAAATTAAAATTTATGTGTCCTTTGAAATTGCCAATACACGTCCGTTTCTGACTTACAGGCGGGGGGTCAAGTTTTCGCTGGAACGCCCTGTATTTATATAAAATGTTATTTTCAGTTTATAAATCAATCTGAAATAATTTTAGTGAGTTGTGCTCGAAAGAACAAATTTTTACAGTATTCTCATAAAATATAGATTTTAGAAATTCTTATTGGATTTTCACTACCTCAGTTTGAACTACTCAAAAGCCTTTAGGTTGTTTCATAGTTTTGACCGTTTCTATGGGTCTAATTTAAACTGTAATATCTCAATGGGATCGAATTAGCGTCAATTGGATCAGTGCATTTCTGCCAACGTTACACGGGTCGAGTAATTCTGTCAGCATAAAAGTTGGGTGATACGATTCGAAGAAGTCGACGAAAGCCGTTTCTGCTTGATTGGCGTTATCCAAGTGTTTGGAAAGATGGTAGTCAGTTGGCGAAAGGTCTGGGGATTTTGGTGGGCAGAACGTAGATACCCAATTTGTTTAATTTACGGATGATCCTTGAATATCCGATCCAAAAAGTGATTTGTTGCGCAAAAGCAACAAAACGCGATAATTTCTATCGATCGTTTAAGTCGTGGGGCACCCACTTTTCGAGATTTTTGACCTTTCCAATACGTTTCAAACCATCAAAAACCACATGGGAGATAACGCCCAGTTCTTCCGACATCCCACGCACCGTTTGTGATGGGTCAGTATTCACCAGAGTCCCTAAATCTTCGTCCTGGATTATTATAGATCGACCACTTCAGGACTGCCAGATGATAGTAGTTCAATTTGAGTTTGTGGAGTAGAAAATCGCTCAGCGATATCAGGTAACAATGATTGATTTTCCATAACATTTCATATCTGTGGATATTCTATATATAATGAACTATGGAAGTCCAAAACTCCAACACTTTTATCAAACATTTCAAAACTGTTCTGAACTACGGTAGTTCAAGATCTCAACATTGTTATCAGACTTTGTCATTCGTGAAAACCCCTTAAAACCGCTTCATTTTCCTTCACAAAGCATCCATATGATATCGCTTACCCTGTACGAGTGTTAGAAATATCTTTCTGCTTCTAAAAGACAAGTAAAGTTTAAATTTCACATAGACGCGAACAATTATCCCTTTCAGAGTCGGATATGACTCATTAAGTTTTGTACCGTACCTGTCCCCTTTAGAGATTATCCAGCTCTGTAATCTGCTTTGACATATCTGGGCCAACAAGGCAGAAGAACGAGCAGAAATAGACGACGGTGTATGGGACGAGTCATATCAATTTTGATAACAAGATCGACTCAGTTCATAACGACGTGGGATCCGAATACAGCTACAATTTCTCAACTTGTTCAGAGTTAGGCCGGTACCTCCAGACATAACTTGAACTGTATTGATATAAATGTACAACTGGTTGATGAGTTTTCGTCTTTTGTTCTTTATAAACTTGTGAAGTGGAAGGTTCAAAGTCAATGAAGAAGTGAGAACACCAGAAATTGACGTGACCGATTTGAATTCTGTTGAGAAATATCTAGAAGAATTGGAAAACATTTAACGAGGTAATGTGAGGCAAGTGTGTGGCCGATGTAAGTCCTGGAACATGTGAAACATGGT